TGCATAACGTTGACAGTTTCTCTGTATTCAGGGACTTTTTTTTCTTTTTTTTTTTTTTTTAAAGGGGAAAAATATATATATTTATTTTGTAGGCATATAATAGGCCCAAACTATTAAGGTATACAAACAGAGGTCAAGTTTACACATTTTCCCTCAGATGTGTTACTGGCATCAATAAGTGGACCAGTATCAGAGAAGATCTTCATTTTCAGAGAACTGGTTCCAATTCCTATGTATATGGTCTATTTTTTTTTTCTTTCTAAAAAAAAGAATGACAGTCTGCACTACAGAAATATTCAGAATGATCACTATTCCTTTAAGCCTGTAAAATAGATGAAGCAATAAATACACTTTGCATAACTCCTCTCCTTCACAATATATACTCCTACATGAGAATGTTTTTAAAACAAAACCAATTATCAATAGTCATTTAACAACAGTCCTCTGAAACTTTAAATATCCTTGTACATGCTTTATTTCCTATGGGAGAACTGAAGATAAAAAAAAAAAAATCATGAATGCTTAGGACTTCCATTTAAAAGGAAAGAATTGAAATTTTGAAAAAATATTTCAAAACCCTACTGGCTACTAATTTTCAGTAATCTTGTTATCTTCTACAAAATTCTTGACCAACTGTATTATATTATTCCCTATTTTGTTTATCAATGCAAGCCCTTCAGATTCATCACTGTGTATCTACTATACTTCAGCTGCACACAAGCTTTAGACAAAAATCTCAGAAGCATAGATAGCAAGCAATATATGTAAAAAATAATTTTACTAAATCAGCATAACAGACTAAAACTGCAGCATCTGCTTCCATGTTATATTTGGCAAAAACAAAAGAAAAAGCCCCCCAAAGCCCCAAAGTAACAAAAATCTCAAGCAAGTAGAAATGACAAACTTCAAAACAAAAAACAAAACAAAAAGATTCAAAACCTGTTCCCTCAAAGATTGCTGTTGTCAATTTGGGCATGCAGCAAAACTGTTGTTATAACCGTGATGGAAATGAAAATATTAAGAGTCTGGACAATATCCTATTTAACACTAATTCAAAAACTAAGTTGAAGGAAAAATAACACAGTGAGACACCACACATACATAAATGTGACAAATTAGCTTACATAATTAGAAAAAGTTAAAAATAAATTAGTAAAAATAAATTCCCAGTATAAACCCCAAAAAAGCATAGCTATAAATGCAACCCAAAACAACCAATTAATGAGCTGGTCATATTTTTACTGGAAAACAAACTCATTCCTGTTCTTTCTTATACAAGTAAATAACTGGAGCAGCAGGCTGAGGTGCATTATAAGAGAACTGAAACATGGCTGTATCCATGGTACTTTAGATGCATCTTTTCCCCAGTCATTTGAAAGCTGACACAGCCTGTTGGTTACACAGACTCGGATGGACCAAATAGGTCATCTGAGATACTGCTGAATGGCTGCGAGTCTATCAGTTGGCTTATTTCACTATCAAGGTCTTCTTCTGTATCTTCTGTGTACTTGCTTATTTTTTTGGAGTGCTGGTCTAACGATAGACTTTCTAAAGTTTCAATATCTTCAATGCCTGCCCTATAGTGGATCATAAGAAGTGTGAGAGCTTGTAGTCTTTCACCCGATTTAGCCAAAGCAGCTGAAAGAAACAAGGGAATTATTGTGTTCCAACTCCTGATCAATCTCATTCTGTAGTTTATCCAGCATAAACTCCAGCTTCTGGATTCTCTCCTCTGTAGGCAAGCCCCTGTACAGATCACGGCCGATTTCTTTAACTGCAATAAAAACACTGTCATCCAGCCCACCTTCTTTTCTCACTAACTTTATTCCTGTGCTGCTTCCTCGTTTGGAAGGACTGTTTGGACCACAGACCTCTGTGTCACTGCCTTCATTGTCTGACGTGTTGGGTGTGTGTTTTGGTGAAGGTTCTACGAGATCGGTTCCTGGTTCAGAAAGGCGAGTTTTAGAGACTTGACGTAAATTTAGCAAACGAGAGCTTGTATTAATAATGTGCCTTGTCAAACCTGTCGTTTTATTAACTGACTTGTTAGCTTCGGCATCAACACGAGGAGCCAGGCCCAAGAGGGGTTCCTGTCCTTCTAGCCTAAGGTTTTTCAAGGTTCGGTCTATTCGTCTCTCAGTTGCTCCACAAAGAGGAGTCTCAGCTAGACACTTTTCTTGACATTTTTTTATGGCAAACATAAGCACAGAACATACACTGGGAAGCTGCTTTTGTCCAAACTTTTTTTTTACAGTAATCACACCAAGTTGGGTTTTGGAACTGAGTATCCTGGAAACTATGTTTACTTTCTGATGAACCCATCTGTCCAACAAAGTGCTCCTCTTTAGGCAGGATAGAAACTTCTTCAACCAAATGGAGTTCTTTTTCTTTCTCTAAATTAGTAACTACATGGTGGTCTGGTTCTCCTTCCTTCAAATATTTGAAGTGAATAGTAATGTCACCATAGCAAAATTTGTCATTGAAGCCCTTTTGCATACTCAGATTCCTTAAAGCAGTTCTAGTGACCATGGCCTTAGGTGCAGGAGCTTCCAGTCTGAATTTTGAAAGGTATTCCATGTTTGATGTAGCTAAGCATCCTAAAGCCACCTCTTCAAGTTTTAAACTAATGTGCCCCAAACAGATGAGACCTCCCAACTTGAAAGGATCCCTGCACCACAGTGCAACATTCAGGTATCTGTGGCAGGCTTCTATATCAAACAAACAGGATGCTCTGGTTTTTGTCCACTTTCCTAGCTTATTCCGATAAAGAATTTCTGATGACTCCCACATTTGATGGTCATGCGAACTGTCTTTAGTAGGGCAAGAACCTTCTGAAGTAAAATCTTTAGTCATTTCTTGCTTTGCTATAAACTGCTTAGATGTAGTCACATCTTCTATGTGATCCACATTTTTTGCTTGCTTCTCAGATTTATCTGCAGGAGGAGGAGGAAGAAGCACCTTCTCTGGCTTTTCAACAAAGAATGTCTGGTTCAGCCTGATTTGGGGTGTCAGCAGAAGGCAAAGGAACTTTTAATTGTGGTCGTGGTGGCACAGGTGGTTTGAAAGTGGATCCTTGGGTGGGTTTTGACACTTGTGCTGGGTCTAGTACCTCAGAAGTTTTTAGGGCTGGCGGTTTATTTCCTTCTTTGGCTGGAATTTTTGGTGGTAGTGGGTGACTTCCTGTAACTAATTTACGGTTTAAAACTGGGGATATAGCGCCAAGAGGTTTAATAGAAAGTGTTGTTGGAGTACGTTTGGGACTATGACTTAATGACTGTGCCTCATCTTTGAACTCGTTTTGTACTCTGACATCACTTGCCAAATCTTCAAATTCAGAATCAAGGTCTCTATTTTCAGCATCCACTGCAAGTCCTGCAGCTTCCTCTTCATAACTTGGTTGGCATGAGCTTGACAAAAAGTTTTCTTCCAACTGGCCAAAATTATCTTGCAGAACAGTACCTTGATTGCTCTGGCCAACAGGCCTTTCATAGTACACCAAGACTCGGTCACCAGCCTGCTTGATAAGCTTCAACACCTGTAGTGTCGATGTAATTTTTACACCTCCAATAGCAATGAGTCGATCTCCCCGCTGAAGATCTGCAATTGCAGCAGGTGAGTTTGGGGCCACAGTTTCAATTATGACATGCCCAGCATATCCATCAGTTGACTGAACAAGACGAAGTGTAAGTCCAACGCTTTGTAAATTCCCTTTTATTAATTCAACCGTCTTAATAGAACTCCTTTGTTTTTCTTCCCAAACACCACTGCTCAACTCAAGTGTGCAATGAATATTTGCTTCTCTATCATAGGATCCAAAAATGAGTAATCTGCTACATTCTAACAACGTAACTTTAAGACGTCCTTCAGCAAGTGCTCACTGGTGTATATGGATATACTCTTCATCTTCTTCAGATTCTTGCAAGGTCTGATATGGAAAAAACGGCTTGAACCTGATCTTGTAATTCGGCAGCGTGTGTTTGCGCTTGATGATTTTCTTGAGCTGGTTGACGATGATGGAGGTGAGTTGGGGCATGGGCCGCCCTTCAAACTGGGAGCGCACCTCGAAGTCGATCAGCGGGTCCTCCACGAAGGAGAAGAACCAGTGGGTGAAGGGCACGCGGGTGAGGACGAAGCGCAACCTCCCCACCACTCGGGACAGTTTGACGAACAGGTAGGCGGACTTGCCAAAGACCAGGTCCACGTCGATGGCCAGGTGGAAGCCCCCGCTGTACTCCACCTCGGCCTCGAAGGCCAGCTCCTCCGGGCAGGAGGCGGGCAGCGCCTCCCCCTCGGGGCCATGGGGCTCCCCGGTGGCCGACGCTACCACGGGCCGCACGAGCCGGATGGTCTTGATGAAGGGCACCGTCTCGCCCAGGAACACGTCCCGCAGGCTCAGCCCCTCCAGCAGGCGCCCTGCCGTCTTGGTCTGCAGCAGCTCCTCAAACTCCACCTTGATCTTCTTGGTGACCCAGCGGCGAGTCAGCGCGGTGTCCCGCAGCTCCCGGAACAGGAACAGGATGGTGGCGTTGAGAAAGTAGCAGGTCTCCCGCGTCGGCGGGGCGGGGTCTCGGAGGCCGGGGTCGCACCGCCCTCGGGCGCCCCGCTGGAGGGCGCCTCAGCCCCGCCGCCGCCATAGAGGTACTCCCGCAGGGGCAGGCCCGGCACCGGCTTGGTGTAGCGGAAGCCGTCGCCTGCGCTGGCCGCCTCGTCCGGCGGCGGCTCTGGCTGTCTGCGGTACAGCAGCAGGAACTGGGTGAGCAGCGTGAGGAAGGAGCCCAGCACGGCCGACGGCAGGATCCTGAGCAGCAGCCCCATCCCGCCGCCGCCGCCCGGGCCGCCGGCCCCCTACTCCCGCGCCCACAGCGCCGCTTTCTTCACGCCACCGCCCCCGCTGCCTCCATCTTGAGGGCATGGGGCGGCGGGGTCGGGGCGAGCGGCTCCCTGGGCCTCGTCCGGGACTTGGGCCCGCGCGCTGCGGCGCCTGAGCCTGCAGCGGCCCGCGCCTCCTCAGATTCTCCGGGGGCGGCCGGTGCGACCGCGGCGGCGGCGGCGGCGGCGGGGCGAGGGCGGGAGGAGGCGGGGACGGCGCCTCCCCCAAGCCCGACTTTTTTTT